TGGCACGTACTTTCCAAACGTCCATGTGGAGGAGCCACCATTGTAGTTCGTCCTTCACTTCTGAGTCTAGAGTGACCATATCCATGTATGATGCACCGTCCTTCAGATGAGAAGCTTGCACTTGCTGCAGTGCTCTGTGATGAAGAGGACCTGGAAAGATGGCCTGTAAAGAAGCCGCCAGGTGGTCTATCATTCTTACCAGTTTTTTGAGCGAGAGTTGAGGGGCTACAAGTGTGTGCCAGATCTCCTTCCTGATATTGGTTAGTTTTGGAGGGTATGAAGGGTAGAATCTATGACAAGACCCAGGAATTCTATGCGTTGAGTGGGGACAATGATGGATTCCTTCCAATTGATTAGAAAACTGATTTGATGAGGTGAATGGACTGAGCCAGAATGAGAATGTCATCTAGTTATATAATGAGATGTACCCCACTACTTTTTAACAGAATGACCACAGGCTTCAGGAGCTTGCTGAAGCACCAAGGGGCTGAGGAGAGTTCAAATGGGAGGCACTTGAATCTCCATTTCCATCCTTGCCAAGTGAACTGTAGGAAATCTTGGTGTTGGTGTGCGATAGGCACCGTGAGATATGCATCTTGGAGATCTAATTTTGTCATCCAATCCAATGGTTGGAGATGATCACTTAGACAATGTATCCCTTCCATCCTGTAATGTTGGTAGGTCACGTAAGTGTTGAGCTATATCAGATTAATCACTGGGCGGACACCACCACCTTTTTTGGGGACTAAGAATAGGTTGCTCACATAACCCTGGGTAAGATCAGGAATTTCCATGATGGCTTGTTTGCGCATCAGTTCTATTATCTCCGTGGAGACAAGTTCTGCCTCCTGTTGGGAAAAAACAAACAATCTCCCTTGGTGGGGAATATTGTACCAGTAGAGATACTAAGTCTATGCAATACCCCTTTACAGTTTGCAGAACCCAATTGTCTGAAGAAATAAGACACCATACATGAGAAAAATGTGTGAGTCTGCCGTCCACCACTGTTAGGGAAGAATGGAGATTTTGAAGACTTTCCATAAGGTCGTCATTCTAAAGAAGCACCTTGTGTGACACGAGCAACCCAGGGCTAACCACATTATGGGAAGAAGGCTGGTGCACCTCTGTTCTGTCTAAAAGAACTTCTGTTAATACGGCTGGACAGACGGCTCCTGGCTCTTCCTGCCCCACCAAAAAAAGGGGTTAAATACTTTGCGCATGTTCAACTGTGCTTTATAAATGATGATAAAGGTATGTACAAATGAGCATAGTTCCTTTACAAAATTGTCTTCAAAGAGGAGATCTTTTGCTTGTGCACCTGGCTTGTTCAGAACCATGTTGACTAGCTTTGGCTCAATTTTGAGCAGCATCGACTTGCGACTTCTTCGACTATCAAATATCTTTTCCACTGGGCCCAAGATGTCCAGGATCTTATCCTGGCAGTTACGGAGTGCAAAGTTAGGCTTCCAACCTGTCTTACTCAGGAATTGGACCATTTTGGGATTTCCCAAGAGCATCTTACAAGCGTCATCTGGAACTGTGGGGCATGGGCATTCAACCCATAATTTATTTCCTGTTGCCTTGTCTAAAGGTTTGCGTACTCTAGGCGCAATATATCTTGCCACATGTTCTGATGGAGACCATTCCGCTGACCTGTGGGTGGCGTAGGTCATCAGGGTCAAATAGGGGCTCACCTTGAGGGTCCAAGATCTTACCGGTGTCCCCTGAGGCCCCATTGTCAATCACAGCCTTAGTAGGTTTAATGGGAAGTGTATCCTATTAGAGTCTCTTCATCATAAGCATCAGAAAGATCCTCTAAATTATGCCTGTAGGACTCCTCCATGACAGGTGCAGAACTGCCCATCTCTATTGATTGTGAGGAGTGTTTGTTTTTGCAAGTGGCCTTATGGCCTGGCTGAGGCTGAGCAGGTGTTGCCAAAGGCATTGCCTGTGGAGTACTCGGCTGAGCTGATCTCTGTGCCTGTAGCAGGGCCTGGGCAAAAGTCTGCGAGAGGGAGCCAGACATAACTCTCATTGCAGAAATGAGGGCCTTAGTCATAGTTTGTTACATAGATGCGTCAATTAAAGCCTGCATGTTAGCAGGGTGTCAGGGGTGGTGGTCCGAAGACCGGGACCCAGTATGCCTGATGTTTGTAGGAGTCACAGTGTGGAAAAGGACAATTAAGGTCTGGTGCAGGGTAACCACACGCCCCCCTGGAGTTGAACACCAAGGTTTGGGCGGCCACATACCAAGGCCCTGATGCTGCTACTGCAGATCCCAGGTGCTTGATATTATGCAAACCTCCCAACATCTGGAAAGGGAGGCTCTGCAGCAGACATGTATCCAGTACTAGAAACAAAACAGGACAGAAAGCAGAACCCAGAACATGTACACAAGACAAGAGGGAAACAAGACTAGGACATGGACAGGGCAGGACAAGACTGTACATGAACTGGGAATACAAGACAAAATAAAACAAGACAAGAAATACATGGCAAAACAAAAGGTGAAATGAAGTACTATATATGCAATAAACATTGGAGATTTAGACATACATAAATGGCCAAGATGTATGCAGCACATCACTGCGCCAAAGTACTACGGTGGATCCTAACTGCCTAGTTATTCATAACTAAAAGTACAATAATAAAACACACACAGTACATACCTGCAAGGAAATTAGCAGAGGAAAGAGACCACTGCCAGCAGGGAACACACTGAAACAAAATGGATAAATGGCAAAGGAATGGGTGTGGCAACAAAAAAAAAAAATAAACACTTAAGGGAATCCAGGAGACTGGGAATTCCAGGAATGGAATAAAGGAATGAACCCAGAAAACCCAGCATAAAGAAAATCAGACATGGAAAAGAAAACCAGAAATACAGAGAAAAACTAAACAAGAATTGTAAAATTAGTACTGGATATCAGAAGCCATGAAGGAAATAATCCGCAGAGAGGAACAGGATGTTACACAGGAGCATTAAAGTCAGCGGAGAAATCCGCTTCATCTCCAGACATACTTGGATAGTTTTGTAAATCAACCTGAGTGGATGTTATAGACCCAGAGGGAACTGCTATATCCCTGTTGGTTGCTTCTTAAAATAACAATGAAAGTGAATGAAAATATAACCTAAATAAAAAAGGGTTGAGTTACTCACAAAGAAAACAGGAAAGGGAATAATATGTTTACTTACAGTAAGAAAAAACACAAGAGCCATCCGACCACCACTAAAACTAAACCCCCAGCTTCGAAATCAGCCAGTTGGGGGTAGAGCTAGGAAAAAAATGTGGTAAAAAAAACAATAAAATGGTTGCCAAGAATGCAAATGTTGCCAGGAATGGCAAATAAAGAAATAAGTGAAAGAATTGCTGAATGTGTTCAGGAAAACAAAACTACCAAACGCCGCATTCAAGGCAAAACTCCCGAACGCTGCGCTTGAGTCTAACTTGAAGAAACGCCCATATGCGTGTTTGCACAATGAAAAAGGTGGCTAGCGGCTAAATTTAAACTTAAAAGATGGTGCTAAAGTGCCGAATGGAGAGAGACCGAGCCCCTAAAGACGTCCGAGAGCCCAGAAGTAGAATTTTGGGCCAGGGAGGTCAATGGGGAGAACAAAAAGTATAGAAAACCACAACAATAAAATATATGTATAGATATATAATAATGACAAATATAGTAAATATGACTATATAAAATATATCAAATACATAGAATTGTATAAAATAAAATAAATAACTAAATAGAATAATTAATTATGAATAACAGTCAAATAACTATGGAATTATAAACTACACAGTAATGAGAATGTCAAGAAAAAGGATCCCACAGGTAAAACAGTGGGACCTGGTGTACTTAACTGAGGGAGCAGCAAAGAAGGAGGAAGTAGTTTATTGAACACTGCCTATTATGCTGGAAAGTGTAATCTGATTGGCTGTTCCTGTTGCTAGCAAGACACACCTCTCATGCTATTGACTGTATCTTATACTGATTTCAATGTAAGTTTTTCCTTTGCTGCTGAGGAAAATAAAGAAAGAGTGCAGCATAATAGGTGCCTCTGTGTATTAATTACATTCAAAATATTCTGGCGAATTCACACAGGTGAATTAAAATTGGTGAAATCAAACAGGTGAATTCAAACAGACAAATTCAAACAGACAAATTCAAAACGTGAATTCACACAGGCAAATTTTCTTCCTGGAGAGCTTAAGAAAGAATAGACTGAACATGTAATACTAAAATTGAAATACCTTCAATGTTACTACGGTGTATGGCAATAAACATTTTCATTGTAGCACAATGTTGTATAGTAGTATCTTCTTGTATAAATGCACATTATATTCACCAGCAAATACATTTTTCAGCTACCTGATTTCAAAAACTGAGGTGCACATTAGAGCCGATGGTGCATTAGATCCAAGTAAATACAGTATTTGAGAGTCCAGGCCAACTCCTTGGTTTTGCACCCCTCCCTGTCACAGGTGCCTAAGAGCAGGAATTAGGCTGCAAGAGTAGAATCTGCCAAGAATGGGGTACATTGACATTGTGGCATGTTTATGCAATGTATGATCATATAATATAACAAAACACCCATTATTTGTTGCCTAGGTGAGGTGTTTTTAAATAAAAGTATTACATTCTGTGACACTTGAAATTGCTGTTTTGTGAATGGGTGAGTGAGCTGGATCTTGTATGTTGTATACCTTGGCCTAGCAGTACCCTTTTAATGTATGCATGTTCAGGTGAGTGCAGTCCTCCTGCTTGCATATATTGTGGCGAACAGAACCTTGCTACAGGCTCCTGGAGGAGCCTGTTTGCCAGCCTCCTGCCTCAGGACTATGGGCCCTGCAATATACCTTGCCCAATGCACTTTAAAAGGCTCCATTCATGTAATTTATGTACTTTTGTACTCCAGAAAGAGAGACCAACCGTTAGAGCGAATTCCCTGGAACTGTTTTGGGCATAGGACCATGTGCACGGTCGGTCAGAATAATGACTTCCAGGGGCGTGGCCTGGAAGCCGAAGAAGATGGCGGCGTAAATCCTGAGCTCCCTACCAGGCTCCACACAAACCCCGCCGTAAGCACCATATTGCCCCGATCATGGGCAAAACACATAGAGCGTCGCAAGCCTCCAAACCCGCTGACACCCCCAGGGGGAACAGTCACCCTACCCTGCGGCAATATTTGATCACTCCGGCGGACCCGGACACGCAGGCCTCCAATGACTCGGCGGCCTCAGAGGGGCTGTTCTCTCCCTCCCCGCTTGATGGAGAGAGCCCTGCAGAGATACCGGCAGCAAACACTCCAGCGCCGCACCCCGAGTGGGTGGAAATGCTCCGCAACCTGCCCACTAAAACCGATCTGCAGAGGGCGAACAACGACCTGAGAACCTCAATCACGACGGAACTCCAGGCCATGAGGGAGGAATTTTGCGGCCTACGCCAGAGGGTATCTCAACTAGAAGCGGACTGCGACCACGTGTCATCGGCGCAGTCCGCGACTACTGAAACCCTGCAACATACCACGCAACAACTCCGGCAAATGGCGTATCACCTGGAGGACCTCGATAATCGGGGCAGACGGCAGAACATTAGGGTCCGCGGGGTTCCAGAAGAAGTTGATGATGCCACCCCTGTACAACAGACCCTGACGGGGATATTTAACGGCCTTTTAGGGCGTCCCCCACAAGCTCAAATCAACCTGGTGAGGGCTCATCGTGCACTTCGGCCGAAAGGGCCCCCTGGGAGCCCACCCCGGGATATCATTTGCTGTATAGCAAGCTTTCAACAGAAGGAAGAGATCTTGAGGAAGGCAAGAGACCTGGGAAAAGTCACCTTGGAAGGCACAGAATTACAACTGTACCCAGATCTATCACCTACAACACTGGCGTACCGCAGGGCCCTACGCCCCTTCACCATGCAACTACAATCAAACAAAATTAGATATCGCTGGTGTTTCCCGAATGGGCTCCAAATCCAGACACCAAAGGGCCCATACGTGATCAAGGAGAAGGCCGACATGGACGCCCTAGCACGAGAGCTACGAATCACGCCAGCGCCTATACAGTGGCCTGACCCCCTGACACTATACACACCAGCCCCGGGTCAGGGGAGACTGGCTACGGGATCTCAGATTCCGAGGACCACACGCCAGCAGGCAATAGGCCCTCGAGGCCACTAGACCAACGGGACATTTGCATGGCACCTGCACCACGAACCCCAGAGCAGATACCGAGACGACCAACTAGAGGAATCCCCCACCTGGCCTACAGAAAAGGACCTCAGCCCAGACCAGTCAAGACAACTCGACCTCGCCCCATCCTGCCCTGAGCAGAGGCCATCACCGGCGAGCCCCCGGTTCCGACCACCACACACGACACTGGATTGAGACACACGAGACAACATCCAACGGAGAACACTACAATAACGGAGACAGAATCTCCCAGCCTACACTGAACACCCGGCACAGGACTCACGAGCACATCACGGACTCGAGACGGGCTACTCCGCCACGCTGAAATACGCTGGGCAGGAGGAGAGGACACTTGAACTTAACTAGACCCTAAATATCATGCACGCAAGTACTAAATGTCGATGTAAATACCAAGGGTTGGTGGCCAGGTGGCCGGTAGGCTAGCCCATGACAAGCGTAGCACAGAGAACTACCATGGGGTCGGGGGACACGAGAACACTAAGGGGGGAGTAGCAGGGATGGGAGAGTAACATAGCCCACCCAGATAGACACGGACCGGAGGGAGGGGATCCCGGACCGGGCTGGGCAACCGCACCCCCCTGGCGTGCCTGTGATGACCCATCGGGAGCAGGCGGGGGGTCGGGGGCCCGGCTCGCTCGGGCATCAGACCTAGTCATGGGACACACACAGTCAGAGGTCAGACGAACCCGGGACAGGTCCACGGGTCAGGAGAGGCTCAGAAGGAAAAGATAGTCAGCCCACACATGCGGAGAGCTCACCCGGACTCTCGATTAGGCCCCACCGCCAACAAAAACCACTAAAAGGTAAAGATGGGAGGGTCGGGGGCCCGGCCACCTTCATGAATGCTGAATCTGGGGTTAGAGATGGAGAAGGTAGGGGTCCTGAAAACCATGGCCTGGAAAGCATGACCCAGGTTCACACGGGGACAGGCATACACAACAAGGGACAGGTGCCACTGCAGTGCCCAGGCACAAAATGCATATCCTATGTTTAAAGTTTTTCTTTTTTCCTCTTACTCTCTCCTTTAAAATGTTTAAGTAATGTTGAATGTTAAAGTTGAAACACAGACGCATATTGTGTATTAGGCGAGGACCCAAACTCGTGACACCACGACTGACAGAGCCGTACAGGGAACACACGGGAGACCTACTGCGCACATAGTTTAGACCGCAGTAGGAAAGAAGAGCGACTAGCTCGCGACACACACCGACAGTGAATCAACACCCGCTTGGAGGTTTCGGCCTTCCTTCCACCCCCTAAGGGACAGGCGCTAGGTATAGGTGGCCCGGACGCTAAGCCTAAGTACAGGCGCGGGTCTCAGGGACCACCCAGACGCCACTACCCTAACGCCGACACAGCGGCGGACTTCCCCTACCCCTACCCCACCGCCCACGCCCGGACCAAAGACAGCTACTACCGCACACGACTGACGGTAACCAAGTATGACGCTCATACCGGCTAACCTCACGATCCTCTCCTTGAATGCAAGGGGCCTCAACAAACCAGAAAAGAGGGCAACTGCCCTAAGAGACTTTCACTCCGCCAGTGCGTCCATAGTTTACATACAAGAGACACACTTTAAAGAAGGGGCACGACCCAAACTACACGACCACCGATACCCCACGGGTTACTTTAGCGATTATCACGGGGGTAAGGCCCGGGGCACCGCGATACTACTACACAAAAGAGTACCACTACAGGAAATGGAGGTCCAAACAGATAGGGAGGGTAGATTTGTTTTCCTGAAGGGCACAATCGCAGGCCAGATCTACACGTTCGCCAACATATATGTCCCCAACCAGAGGCACTATAGATTCCTCTCACGTACTCTTCGCAAATTACAGGCATTCACCCAGGGTGTCCTAGTACTGGGGGGAGATTTTAACCTGGCCCTGGATCCGAAATGGGACACCTCCACGGGCACATCACATGTCCCAGCCCAACAATTATCCGTAATCAAAACTCTCCTCTCCAAATACCAGCTAGTTGATAGTTGGAGGGCACACCATCCTGACGAGAGGGACTATACGTTCTATTCACATCCCCACAACTCATACACTAGGATTGACTATTTCTTCCTGCAACACTATCATCTACCACTGGTGGCACAAACAGAACACGGCACGGCGACGTGGTCCGACCACGCACCGGTAGCACTCACATTAACCTCCCCTCTGTTTAGACCCAGGGTGACTAAATGGCGACTTAATGAGTATCTACTCTCCGAACCCACAGTTAAATCCGACACTGAATCCACCCTCAGAGAGTACTTCACCAATAATACACCTGACCAGACAACCCCGACAATAGTGTGGGAGGCGCACAAAAGTGTAGTGAGGGGCCACCTAATACAAAGGAGCACCACACTGAAAAAACAGAGGGTAGCGAAAATGACCGCCCTTCTGGCAGACATCCAGAGGCTAGATAGCCTCAACAAAAAAGAACAGACACACACACAACAGGAACAATTGCTTTCCTTACGTAGAGACCTGACTCGACTCCTCCAAACCAGATACCACCGAGACGTAATACGGCATAAAGCGTTTTTTTCCTTACATGGTAACAAAAGTGGCAGATTGCTGGCTCGGATGCTCACTAAACGTAGACAACAGACATACATAGACCGTATCCGAGATAACAAAAACACGCTACACAGACTCCCCACTAAGATCCAAGAGGTAATTAGGGCATACTACGCGGACCTATACTCCCTCTCGAGGCCGACGTCGACACAAGCAACCAAACACCTAATGGACACCATTAACGACTACCTCACCACACACATGGCACACACATTAGGCAGGGACACGGCGTCCCTCCTGGACGAGGAAATCACACCGGAAGAACTGGCTGCGGCTGTTAAGCGAACGAAGACCGGCAGAAGCCCGGGCCCGGATGGCCTGCCGCTCTGTTATTATAAGACCTATGCGGACATACTATACGAGCCCCTCATAGCAGCGTTCAACGCTATCCGGGAGGGCCACCACTTCCCCAAACAGACTTTGGCAGCATACATCACCGTCCTGCCCAAGGAGGGGAGGGATAGAGAGTATTGTGGAAACTATCGGCCGATATCCCTCATAAACTGCGACCTCAAGCTGCTGGCCAAAATACTGGCCACCAGAATACAGACACACATACCCACGCTGATACACCCGGATCAAGTGGGGTTCGTACCGGGGAGGGAAGCCCGCGACAATACGATACGCACGCTCACTCTGATGCACGGGGACAGGCGCTCGCGCGGAGACCTCCTCCTGCTATCTACAGACGCGGAGAAGGCCTTCGATAGGGTCAACTGGGATTACCTGTTCCAGACCCTTTCGCGTACGGGACTGGGCCCGGGAGTCATGGGGTGGATAACGGCCCTATACACACAACCATCTGCCCAAGTGATAGTTAACGGGGCGTTGTCAGCACCGTTCAACATACTAAACGGCACACGCCAGGGATGCCCACTATCCCCACTGCTTTTCGTTCTAGCTTTAGAACCGTTCTTAGCGGCAATCAGGAACAATCCAGACATAACGGGAGTGATGGCAGGGACGACACACCACAAAGTAGCGGCATACGCGGACGACATGCTCTTTTACATCACAAACCCAGAAGTATCATTACCCAACATCCTGAAAGCCTTTCGGGACTTCGGGATGATATCAAATTTAAAAATAAACCTCTCCAAATCATACATACTAAACATTGATATCCCGGCACGACGGGCGACACCGCTATGCCAACACTATACATTTCAATGGGCCACGCACAAAATAAAATACCTAGGAATCTGGTTAACACGGAAAGCAGGGGACATGTTTAGGGAAAACTTCACCACCATACACATGAAGTTTCGCACGGAAATGCAGGAATGGGCATACCCACACATCTCATGGCTTGGCAGGATACAAGTAGTCAAAATGAATTTTCTCCCCCGCCTCCTGTACCTTTTCCAAACCATCCCCATCACAGTCCCCCGCACATTCTTCGTCACGCTCCGCACTGCCCTCGGACGATACGTCTGGAATGGGAAACGACCAAGACTCAGACATACCATATTAACACTACCGAAGGATAGAGGAGGCCTGGCGTTGCCGGACTTCACTCTCTATTATAGGTCCTGTCACTTCCTCCGGATAATAGAATGGTCCAAACAAGGAGTGCAGAAACAATGGAAACAAGCAGAAGAAGTCGAGGCAGGTGTCCCAGTCGCGGTCCTGCCATGGCTGCCTCCCGGGATCGGGAGCAAGGGGAGGAAATACTCCCCATACATCAAGGCTACTCTGCAAGAGTGGTACCGCACAAAGGATAGACACGAGCTAGCACCGTACCCATCGCCCCTTCTCCCACTCATACACAACCCACACTTTCCACCAGGACTGGACCCAAGGGCTTTCCATGCGCTGATCCAAGACCCAATCCCCAGACTTAGCCACGTCTATACGGCAAATGGCCTCAAGACACTAAGGGACATGAGGGGAGACACAGACGTTAACCTCTTGATACGCCTAAAACACAAACAACTCCAGAGCTACATTGCAACTCTTCCACAGGGGCCCATTTTATCGAGAGCTCCCACATACTTTGAAGACATATGCCTACACCCAGACCCGTTGGCCCACGGAATCTCCCTCATGTACACATCACTTCTGACTCAAACGCCAATAGCACAACCAAGCTTCATGGGGAAATGGGAGGCAGCACTGGGTCGTACGATTAATAAGACAGACTGGGAAAAAATTTGCTATCTCACGCACCATTGCTCTAGCTTCAGCAAGACGCAGGAAACAGCATACAAACTACTGCACCCCTGCGGCACTACACGAACATATCCCAGAACACCCCCCAGTGTGCTGGAGATGCGGAGAGGGGACGGGCACGCTTCTACACATCTGGTGGGAATGCAACAAAATCACACCGTTCTGGAAAGCCATACACAAAATTATAGGGCTACTCTCAGACGACCCACCCCCATTCGGCCCAGCAGAAATGCTCCTACACCTCACTAAGGTCCCCAGGACCATATATAAGAAATCACTGACGATCCGCATACTAAATGTAGCTAAAACTACCATACCACAATACTGGAAACAGCAGACCGCCCCGCCACTGAAAACTTGGTTCACCCAAATGGAGGAGCTGAGGTCCTTAGAAGAACTCCACGCCACAGCGAATAACACACACCAAACCTACCTCAATACATGGACGCACTGGCTACTGAAGTCGACACAACCAGGCTTCCTGGGCGAGATCCAGGCCCAACAATAAGAGACTGGACTAACGCTACACCAAGCGGCGGACCCCTGACACCGACAGAACCTAGACCCCTATCCCGATACCCCCCCACCACGACAAACACATCCAGACCACCTTAACACACGAATAAAAGGTACCCCAGATTTGGCAGGGATCGCCTAATACTGCATGGATCAGGGCGACTTGGAGACCACACATAGTGGACACCCGCCATGTAGGCAGACGGTTCATGACCATAGTAAAGCAGGGGAGAGGACGGACAATTATCATGGAACGCATGGGGACGGGGAGACATCACATCTAAGTTTAGGTCTTCAACTAACAGTTCAAGCTGGGAGACTGACGAACTGAGTATATCATGAGTTGTCTGTCCCTCAACTGCTTGCTCCAAACAGTGTATGATATACCAACGCAAGAGGGACCTGCGAGTCCACATTGTTGATGGGGCCTGCGAGCCCGCACTGCTACCCAACCATACAATGTAGCTGATGTACTCTATGCCCTCACTAAACATGGACCTGCGAGTCCAAATGAAGTAGGGCAGCCTTGATTTGAATTTGAAAATGAAAATAAAAATCATATTTACAAAAAAAAAGAATAATGACTTCCAGGGAAATCCTGAACCCCCGAACCAGTGATTTTTGGTGGGTTTCCATGGATTTTAGGGGTACATTCGAGATGTTATTAAAATGAATGTTTTCTGTGCCTGGAGATAATTGAGTTTAATACAGTTTCTGACTCAATTATCTCTCAGGCACAGGGGAGGGATTACCCTGTTTTTTGTGGGAGTGCCCTGGACGTGAGAGCCAATGTAATTATGTGTATGTTTTACTGTAGTCTCTTCTCAGGTCTAGTGGGGAATGCCCCTGGATTATGTATTAGGAAACCCCTTGCATGGGGAGTTGCATATAAGGCTGCATGTGGCTCCCATTAAACTAGTTCTACTTCACCCTCAACATAATATGGGAATTAAACTATATATGGGGCAAGGAAGCTGTGATGAGGAATATGAGGCAAGGAAGCTGTGATGCAATGAATATGAGGGGGTTGCAAGAAGATGAGGGGAGATAATATGGGGATGAGACTA